GTACCTATATATTTATTTGTATATTATATTAAATTAATGGGATGAATGATAACATTCTTTATACGATTTTATTATTGGTATTTATAAATAAGAAATGATCATCGATCATGACAGAATTTGGTAATTATATAAACCGTATTAATAATAGAGAAATATATTTCAAATAATATATTCATAGTACTAAAAATAAAGTTTATAATTTAATCATAGAATATTCTTAGAAACAGTTATGACACAGTTGACTTCACAGAATTGTTCGTATGTTACGATTTATCATTGATTTGAAATTTAATACATCCATTACAGTGACTTTTCAACGATAAGATTAACTAGAAACTTAATTAGAACAACTGCCTGATTTTTTTAAAATTCGTTCAGTTGGTACATAATCAGAATAATTTATTAGATGTACTATTTTAGATACTAGTGACCAAAAAAATTACCGAATAAAACAATGAAGCTATATTCTAATATGAGTTAGATGACCGCCAATATATAGGTAATATCAAATTAATTATTGTTACCTACGGCAATAATTCTGATTTAATATTGAAATTAAATTAAATCGAAACTTGAATATGAGTTTTATATTTAAAATGTATGATCAATTATTAGGGTATTATATTATATTAATCAATAGGTAAATAGGAATTGATATTATTTTATGACTTACATTTGCTTAACATTCAAACATATCATTAGATATAGATATCGTGAAGACACAGTGGTGTCTACACAATTACCAGTTAATTATATTATTTTAATATAATAAGTAATATTTTGAAGTAAAAAGTAACTTTTCGTTTTTAACTTGTAAAAGTTAAAAGTTCAATACAAAAATAATAATTTAGTACCCCATTTTTTTATTTAATATTCATAATGTACGCCAAATTACTAATTCACAATCATTAAATTTAATACAAGTATATCGTATACACATAAATTGAGTTATATTATGGTAAAATTGATAAATAAGTATGAGAGCAATAGATTTAGAAACTACACATTATTATTTTTTGATTACTGATTTTAAACGCATGGAAAAAGTTATCTAACCTTTGTTAAATATATCATACAATAAAATAGATCCTTAAAATGATGTGTCCATGGTTGATAATATTTGAAATATAATTTCAGATATGTCATTTTTCTAATCGATTATAAAGTCAAATTGTATCATTTAATCTTTCTATTATTAAGTTGATTTTATCTAAGTTATTTTTTGTATATATAAAATTCAACTTAAAAATAAAACATTTATAATAATAGAGTAAATTAAATTTTTATTTTACTGTTTCTTTTTAAATCTAACTCGACRAGTCTTAGAAATTTGTTAACTTGGACAACTTTGTAAATTTGAAACAAAATCATTTAATTGTAAATCGGGTAGTTTTCCGTATTTAATAATCGAGAAAACTAGTAACTATCCAAAACAATTCTATACTAAATTACAATATTTCCGTGAAAAAAGKMATTACCGGTGCAAGTAGGTATTCGATGCGACCACGTGGAATCTGCCAAGCACTCAATCGAATTGACACCAGACATTTGAAAGCCCCAAGCGCATTTGAACGCTGCTCGTTTGCCGTACGTATCATTGTATTCAACCATGATCAACCTAGAATCGTCAACGCTGATTGGTGGACACTTAACCATGATGCAATCCGGTGGCGAATTCGACCAGTCTCCTGTTGATAAACACAATACAATTATAATTTATAACATCTATTTAATTAGTTTGTTTCAGGTTGTTATTTCTTTATATTTTTAATTTTTAATTTTTTTTTAAAAATTATTAACAATCTATAGAGCATAAAGAGTATACTGAATTAATACATTTTATATTTAATAATTATTTCCAGTATATTAGCATTTATGGGCAGGCAGTCAGCAGTCAGCAGTGTCATCTGAGTAGGTATTTTATTATTTTAGAGTACTTTTTTTTCAATTATTGTTTTTTTTTTTTTCAAATATTTAATGTTCGATCAGTTTGAAAACCAAAAATTAAATTTAAACATATTATTCTAAAGTAAATTTTTTATCCGAATGATTTCTTTTGGAATCCAATTTTTTCACTACACAAAAGAAAATTGTCTGGAATTTACAATTGCCAAAGAATATATGTTAATTATTGTTGCTCTATCTCATTTTATTATTCAGAATCTTATTTTGTCTTTTTTTTACACAGCATTACCAAAAAGATATATCCCATCAGATTTTTATGAGCTGTACACGAATTGCAAATAAAAGGGTGATAAATGTACATTTGAATCCGTCTCATGGTTATAGTTGAAGGGGAACTATATGACGCGAGGGGGCCGCAGGGTAAAAACCACGATTTGATCGACGCGTCTGCAATGCGTTTTATTTTGCCCTGTCAAATTCCAAAGTTTCTACCACCAGCGTGACCCTGCGGGGTTTCTTTTATTCCTCCTTTTATTTTGGGGCAAGATGGTGTGAGCAGCATCCGAGAGAGGGGATAAAGAAGAGAAACCGATAGACGCGCGCTTTTCAGTGGTAACTGCACTCGATCAATCATTCACACGGCCCCAGCAACGCGGCATAAACTCGCTGTAAAGTTAAGTGGATTTGTGTTCGGTATGCCTGTATTATACCATTAAGTACCATTCAATCACCAAGCACACGTGTCGATGCTATTATTAAACCAAACGTTTACCCGAATCCCTTCATCGCACGCTGTGATGGTTTGCTGTCTATCATGGCCCGGCGGTGTTATTGCCATAAATGGTACCCACTCACTCAGTCATATTTTTTACTTCTCTTATCTCTGTCCGTACCTGCCATTTAAATCCATGGACACGTTTTTATTATTATACAACAGTACGATGGTTGCATTGTGATAAATACTGATACAACTAATTTAATTCATAATCTTAACATGATATTATAATAATATAATACACATGTTATATAATAAATTATACCTACTTTCAAATATATTTCAAATTATAGTTGAATATTCTGTTCTATTTCATTTAATTAAACTTAAACTTGACACTTTTTGCCATCTTGTAATTTCATTAGGTATAGAATGAAATTTTGAGAATTTTAAGAATATTTTGTCTAATTATAAGCTATATAAACCATGATATTTGTTCACACCTTTCTACGTGTTACATCGATATTTATATATAAGTTAATAACAGCTGTATTATTATATTACATATAGYAWTAAAAACTATAATATATAAAAATAAATTACTAATAGTAAAATATAATTATATGCATTAAATAAAAAAATACTTTTAAAAACTGAGGCTGGTAGTATGATGATTCTACTCAAATTTGTTCGCCATGAGACATATATTATTGAATTTAAATTTTACAATATACAGTCGCTACCATCTAGTAGTTATTTATTCAATTACGTAGAATTATTGACAGTGGCTATGAAAATGCCACACAGCTACTTTTTATGTTTTTTTTWWAAAAATTATATATTTTGTATAAAAAATAAATTAATTTATAAAAAAAATTAGTTTGACTATATTATAATATATGTATACAATAAATTAGTTTTTAGCGGAAGATCAACAAAAAACTGATCTCAATATTTAT